GACGCAAAAAAAAAAAAAAAAGAAGAAGAAGAAGGACAACATGACTGCAGATGTTGACAACATAAGATGGCATGTTGCAAGCAGTCCCCAAGTTGTTTTACCAGAACAGCAATTGGAAAACACACAGAACCCAGTACCTAAAAGGTCACTTCAAGACAAGCCCAATAACATCAAGTCTAGTAGGTTACAGATGCAGTAGGGTTCAAAAGCCAGACAAAGGACATCCTTGCTGGATAGCTGCCCATCAGAAGAGAAACCCTCCCATGCTATATAGATTGGGGGGGAAAAAAATTAAAGAGAAAATAAAATAGCTAAAAAAAAAACCAGTTTTTAAAACAGCAGAGCTGCCTATCCTCCAAAGATAGCTAGGGAAAAAAAATGGAGGCATGTCGGTAGTAGGTGGAGTTATCCTGAATGTTTGCCTGTGTCAAATCATTCTGTAGGCAGCAGTAAAAGCTGAGGGTTAAAGACTTAAACCTACATTAACTGAAATCCTGTTGCCACAATACAGCAATGTGTAGGTTAATGTAAGCGTTAATATTGAGTCTCCTGTTTGTTCACAATACATAATCACACCTATTTATCAGTATTAATACCTTTATGAAAAAGGGATACGGTGTCAGACTCAATACATAGATAGCTGAGATCCATTTTTCCTTTGTGTTTGGAGACACTGAAGATACGCCCATTTTCTACATCCAGAACTACCTCACTATGTTGACCATCCAGCTTCTTAGTTCCTTCATTCTGTCTCATGGTAGGCAATAGAAGGGAAAAAAAAAACACAAATACACATTACAAGAGGTCCTGATGGAAAATAAATGTAGCTACAAGACCAAGAAATTAAACTAAACCTTGGCTTCAGTCCAAGCCGTGACCCGTCCTTGCAAAATGTTGACAGAAACAGAAAAGAAGCTGAGACCCTCATGACTGGCTTTCCTAGCCTTGGCTATTTCATCCACTGAGTAGAAATGGGAGTCTTCATCCTCTGAATCGGAGTCTGTTAGGAAGGAGAGAAATGGGTAAGAATTGGGAAGCAAGATGATCAGAATGTTAGCACTTTTTTTTACTTTACATGGCTATATAATAATATGTAAGGAGACCACAGACTCACCCAGTCTAAAAGCAGATTTGCACATGCGAAATGTGTCTGGCTGATACCCAGATCTGGAAAGTGTCTCATTCGGGAACAGGGAATCAGTCATGGGGATGTCAAACATGGTCAAAGGTTCCCACATCAGAAGATCATTACACAGTCTGGGCAGAAAAACATAAACAGGATTATTTATGATAAAGAAAGAACCATAATCAGAAAAGAGCCAGCAAACTAAAGGCTAGAGTAATGAGTGCGTACCTGTTGTATAGATTTTCATACACATCTTTGCTGGGAAGGAATATGTGAGCACGGGGAAGAGTCACCTCAACTGTATATTGGGAGGATGCCAGTGTTGTTTGCTGGAAGTCTGCCATCTCCTCTGGGTCAGCAGGGATTACCATCTGTGGTTAAAATAAAGATAAGCAAAAGAAGACAGGATGAGAAATAAAGAGAGTGGAAGAAGTAGAACGAGATAAAAAGCTCACAAATAAATGTTGTGCAAAAACACATTTCTTGTTTTAGACTTACCTCTTCTGTTTCAAACATTGTCCGCTTAGAGGAGAAAGGTGAGGGCTCAGGCTGTTTCAATTCACAAGGACTTTCCACAGATGGAAGATCAAGGTCATCAACTTTGTCTTGGCCTACGTCCCATGGAAAGCTTTTGGTTTCAGGACGGATAGTTACAGAGATGCTAGAAGGTAAACAGACGTTTGTGAGCTATTGTGACAAAATGAGAAAACAAAGCAAGGCATGATAAGAGAAAAAAATACATGTAAAATGTCCCCCCCCAATAAATGATGGAATGAGAAAACAATTATAAAGTTACCCTCTTCTCCTATTGTACACTAGGAGGCACAAAAGACATGCAGGAACATGCCAGAGCAGTCACAGAAATTGGTGGTTAAAAGAAAAATCAAGATGCGGCACAAGACTCTGAACGGCTAAAATTGTAAAAAAAATTAGCATCAGAGGAAATGTCACAGTTATAGAACTTAGAAATGTTGAGAACAAAGACCAGGCACTGTGATTGTCAAAATCTAGTTCCAAAAAGTCTGGAATACACTAACTGACTACATATTAGGCCCAAGCTACAAACTGAAATTGGCCAGTCACACTCCTGAGAGACGTGACAAATAAAACCTTTTGGCCATGGAGAAGTGAAAATCCACCCTACAATTTGAAAGGGGTGATTGAAAATATGTAGGGGGTAGGATGAAAGTATAAGTCAAAAAGCTCCAAAAAGAAAAAAAGAGAAAGAGTAGATAGCTCTCCTTTGATGGTGCTGAGAGGTAGCAGTCAAGTTCCAGCTATAGTAGACTAAGAATTAAGATTAGGAAAAGAATTTAGAGAATATCATCATATTTTGTTCTTCCACTGCCACCCAGGTAAAATTCCAGGGGCACACTATCATCTGCAACAGTCCATACGATACGAGATGCACTTGTAAAAGTAGATGTAAATATTAGTTGGGTCAAAAACCAACAGGGTTTTAAGTACTGCCTGGAAAGGGACAAGTAGGCATCTAACAGAAAATACAGAGCAATAGCTGCAGCACCCTTTATTGACAGCTTTAGACCCATCCATCACTTCCATGTAAAATAACATATGGAAAAGGACAAAGAGAAGTGAAAGTGTTGTTGCACGTAAGGATGCTAGTAAGAAGATGGAGACTCCACCAATGTCAGTGATTTGACCTGTGGTTTGCAAAGAGCAGATCCTGCAAACCACATAGGCCCCTATAAATTGATCTAACAAAAATTAATTGAAGGAAATTAAATTCTGTAGAGTATCATTCTACATATTTTTCTATATGTTGCCACCTGCCCAACCAACTATTATCCATAATAACATTTTCTAAATTATTAACATTACCCAGATTGTTTACATAGTTCATCGGTGTTTTATATGCTTAAAATCTGTCCATTTGCTTAATATCAGGAAAATATACAAAGCAGCTTGAAGTATCTTGCATGCTTGGGACATTTTCCTCTATGCACTTCCAGACATATTTACAGGGGAAGGTCAAACCTTCTACTTCCACACCATTTTCAAGTGTGCTGTGTTCCCCAAAGAACAATAAGAGAAAACAAAGTGTTCCATTCCTGTGCGCAAGGGATTAACTTTACCTTATTGGAAAGAAAAGTCAGAGTAGGGTTATTAGTGTGCTGATCTCAGCAAAAATTAACAAATCTCTCTTGCTTTTCACTTATAATTTTCTTTTGAATATGTTTATAATATTTTTATGTTTGTGCTAAAATAAACATAGAAAAAAACAATCTCAAGTAACCTGGGGAAGACAAATTTCTTTCCAGCGGTTTTGGCCATGGGGTCTAATCCTTTACTGATCTTCATGCAAGGAACACGCAGCTTATCTCCATCAGTAAACACACCTGAATAAAATAAAATGGAACAGCTTGTTTGCTATTTGAGATCATCATGTTATACCTCTCACATCATATGCAGCAGAGGAAAAAACTTGCAGAACTTTTATGGTTAAAAAACAAGTAAACAAGCACTCTATTAAGAGGGAAGAATTAAAAAATGTATTAAAACCTTACAGAAATTCCATTGGTTGGCGGGTATACAATATAGATGGGGTAATAAACCAGGAAAAGTATTATCTAGATCATTAAACTACAGAAAGACACAGTCCTATATTCCTAAAATTAAAACAACAGATTCCACTGTATATACCCCTAGAGATATCGCTAAGGAATTTAAAGATTTTTATTTCACGTTATATAATGTTTCAGAGAAAAAGTCGCAAAAAACAATAGATCTTAGACAAGAGGCGATAAGAAAGCATCTGAATAGGGGTAATTTACCATCACTCCCAGCTGAAGCCCTAGGGATACTGGAAAAGGAGATAGAAATTGGGGAATTGGAGAGCAGCATGTCTGAAATGACCAAAGAGAAAGCACCTGGCCCTGATGGACTAACGGTGGCTTATTACGAAACCTTTAAAGACATATTACTCCCCGGCTGGCCAATTATGTGAACTCACTAACGGACGATGGGAAACTTAGATCAGAAACTACCTTGGCACATATAATAGTAATCCCCAAACCAGATAAAGACCCGACGAGTTAATGGCATCCTAAGTGAGGGATTCTCACTGAGCAACGGTACACGCCAAGGCTGCCCACTCTCTCCCCTTTTATTTGCAATCTCACTGGAACCCCTCCTAGCAAGTATTAGAGAAAATGTAGACATCCATGGAGTTGATATAGGAAATAATAAACATAAGTATTCAGCTGATGCAGATGATATATTGTTCTATATTCAACAGCCCAGAATATCAATCCCAAACTTAAAAGCGGCATTTCAGGAGTACAGGGAGTTATCTAATTTTAAGATAAACTTCGATAAATCGGAAATATTAATTTATCATCTAAAGAGATGATGTCCCTACGCTCAAGCTTCCCATTTAGGTGGCAGTCTGAGAGACTGAAATACTTAGGGATTAATTTAACCCCTCATTATCAGGATCTTTTTAAATATAACTACATTCCCCTTTTAAATGAGATCAGAAAGGATTTGCAAAAAGGGACTGCTCTACGTCACTCATGGATCGGTAGAGTAAACGTAATAAAAATGAATATTCTAAATATTCTACCGAAATGTATATTTCTATATCAGATGGTCCCTATTGCTCTTCATATTAGTTTTTTTAGAACCTTAAAAACAATGGTATCTAGATATGTCTGGGGAAGGAAAAACACGAGAATCTCATATGACACCTTAGCTAGACCAAAACCACAAGGTGGGCTGGCTCTACCAGACTTTAAACGCTATTACCAGGCAGTGGTACTGTCCAGACTACTGAATTGGCATTTTGACAGAACAACCAAACTTTGGGTAGACGTTGAGTTCAAAATATGTAAGACAAACCTAAGCACAATTTGTTGGATACCAAAGCAGTTTAGAGGCACATCAAAGGAGTGGCACCACCTAGTGGGGAATACCCTAACAGTGTGGGACTCATTGCATAAGAAAGCAGGATGGAGATATAACTCACCCCTAATGCCATTACTAGGACATGATTATTTCCAACCAGGGAAATCAGACAAAACATTCAGTAAATGGACAGAGGAAGGCACGCTACGATTGCATCATGTAATGGACCAAGAGGCAATAAAACCTCTACCGACATTGTGTCGTACATCACCACCAACCATGATGGATAGGTGGCGTTACCTTCAACTAAACCATTTCCTGCAATCATTACCGAAACCAATTAGATCAACGGACGAATTAAACCCAATGGAAGGGATTTTATTAAGATCAACATGCCCAAAGAGAAGCATATCCCTGTTGGTCAAATTACTGTCTGCAACCGACCTTACATTGACTCCAGGGTTTATGCAACCATGGGAAGAAGATTTGGGAATTCCCTTATCAGAACCAGGAAAACAGAGGGTTCTACAATGGGGTGGTAAAACATCAACCTCATCCTATATAGAGGAGATGAATTATAAACTACTGGCGAAGTGGTACCTTACGCCAGTAAGATTGCATTCAATAGATCCCACCAACTCACCATTGTGCTGGAGAAGCTGCGGTGGGCGAGCAACAATGGCACACATATGGTGGCAGTGTCCTGTTATTAATAAATATTGGGCTGCAGTGGGTAGGATTATCTCCTCTATACAGGGAAGACCCTTAAGAATGGATCCCTGGGTAATACTATTTCATAAAGGGTCACTGTCAGGATATAAAAAGTCTATCACATGCCACCTGCTGAATTCAGCTAAATGCCTGATACCAGCTTACTGGAAGCGCACAGAACCCCCTTCAATAAAGGAATGGTTTATAAAAACAAACTATATATGTTCAATGGAAGAACTGACCTTCAGCAGCCAAAACAAGCACTTATTATTTTGCGAAATATGGCAGGGTTGGCTCACATATAAGAACTCAGATGAGTACGTAGAAGCACCTCGTTGGGGAGATGTCCTCATCTCCCCAACGATTATAGGGCCTGTCCCTTTCTATATTACACTATGGGATCATTTCAGACACTTAAAAATGATAAAAAGAGAGGGGAGGAATAGGATGCTATAGTATGTATGTTTTTGGTTTTTTTTTACACTTGGAATAAGCTGTATCCACAGGGCCATAACCCAAAACTAAAGCACATACAGGGGGGAAGCCTTTGCTCACACACACGTTTGATTGGTTTATCGTTTTTTGATATTATTATAAACACTATTGTATTATAAGTATAGCACATAGAAAATAGACATGGAATTTTACTTAACAATTCACGATAGGGGAGGGAAGAAAGGAGACAGTGATTAATATTATAATCATACCTCTCACATCACTGGTAGTTTAGGTAACATAAGTAATATAGATATATCCAGGCACATTTCATCGTACCTCAAATAAAGACACATTTTTTTTTACACAATATATAATGGGTGTTGTATTGGACCTAAGGCTCACAAAGGATTTAAATCGTAAAGATAAGAATAACACTAAAGAAGTTTAATGTAATAGTTAATAGTAAACTAATTGAAAAATACTGACACTGACACCAGAGGGAAAATGGGAGGAATGGTACTATGTAGATTAGGATCGGGGTTATGACTTTGTAGGAAAAGCACGGATGTTAGAAGGGATTAATTTAATGTCATGTTATGTTATGTATTTGTCTTAATGTTAATTGTCTTTGAGTAGTGTAAATGTATGAAATATGGTGGATTGTGAAAATAATAATATATTTATAACAAAAACAAGCACTCTATTGTTGGCATGCCCTACACCTACAACATATTAACAAGCAATTTTACTCAATTCTAACATTTCTGTGATAGGCACAATCTGCTGACCTATTGAGCCCTAAAACTCTAGAGACAAGGTTTATTAATGGATGATTCCACAACATCACTTTCCGGCCCTTTTTGTAAAACTCAGCTTTAAGGCCAATTTAGAAAAGGGCCACTATTTCTCTTTTCTTGCAGTAAAACAGAGTTTAGATATCATATTTACTTTGAAGCAAACAGCATTGGAGGAAGACATAAGGTAAGGAAGCAATGGCAAAGTTTCCCCTGCTGACCTCCTGGGCCTCTGGCTGGTTCCTCAGATGACATGACCCAAATACCAGCCCAGTCATTTAGAAAAAGAAAAGCAGGAGAACACAATAAATTGTAATTGCTGTCTATCTAACTTAAAGCTGGGTGGCCACCTGGTCTATCTAAGAGCATGGGCTCAATCCCACCATTTCTACTAAACTGACATGGTGCCATGGGTTAAATGACACCATTTTATAACAATGAATTTTCATTATGGGTTCAGGTAGCCTTTTATAATATGTTTTACTACTTACCATGTAAATCACTGAATGTAATCTCTATTTTGCTAGGCTCTTCTGTACCATTTCTACTCTGTGTTTTAATCTCCATGTCAGTCACTTCCATCTCAAGACGTTCTTTCCTCACTGCTTTTTCTGTCCAAGGACGTCGCTCAGAGACAGGCCCTAAGTCTGGTACTGGGAACTGGAGATGAATGTGTGCTTTGGAGGCAATCACATGGATCTCTGTGTCCTGATCAGGAGTTGAGGCAACATCAGTCTGAGAAAACAGGCATAAGAAAGGGACTAATAAAGAAGCCGGCAGGCTAAGTACTTCCAAAAAAAGTGCAGCATGCCTTCCTGGTTTCTAACACATTTTTTGCATCTATGGTCCTACCCAAGACCTATAGCATAGAGAAGCTTAGTGTTCTATACATTCAACGCAGCAAAAATGATTACATCTACATATTGGGAATAAACACAGTATTAGAGCTCATTTTGAATCTTATTGTTCATCAGATATAGTGCCCAAATCTTCTCCCATTTAAGTCTACATTGAAGATGGTATTTTGAGAGAAAGGGCGAGTATAAAGGTGAGATATCAACCATTGTCTGTGTTTGGGGTTGAGTATCATTACATACTCACAAAAAGTACAAAGCAACTGCAAAACCCTACAAACAAAATATAAACTTTACCATTAATTGTCATCAATTATTTAACTTTCCCAAAATAAACAAAAAATATTCAAGTATCTAAAACCTAATCCAGCATTCCAGGGGAACCATTTCTACTGCTATTTTGGGTTTAAACTAAACTTTCACATTTGTCATTGGATATACAGTATGTAACAATCTCAAAGTTCAAATTTACATGCTCATACATTTATAAAAAAAGCCCATTTGAGCTTCAGAGCTCTATTCACCTCTGCTTTGATGCCAAAAAACAAGATCAAGTTTTTGTTCCTTAAAGTCATCTTTTACAACCCCTTGTACCACAAGCAACACCAGTTTATCATCAAGACCTGATAAAGCTGCAGCCATTGGACGTTACAAATATTCAATACATCTATTGAATTATGTATGAAACTTCAATACTAGTAGAAAAGCTAATGCAGAAGGCTGGAGCTAATTGTCAGCAAGCTGCAGATGTAATTTTAGAATAAATGTGCCATAACCAATTTATGTATTGCATAGCCCAGGGATGTCCAAACTCCGGCCCTCCAGCTGTGGTGAAACTACAAATCCAATGAAGCATCTCTCTCCGGGAGTCAGGTCTGTGGCTGTGAGAATCTTGCAAAGCCTCATGGGATTCGTAGTTCCACCACAGCTGGAAGGCCGCAGTTTGGACATCCCTGGCATAGCCTTACCATTTTTGAGATGATGATTATAGATTAAAGCTGAATTCCAAGCAGATCTAAATGACACAAATGAACGCAGCAGTGTTTTCATTAATATAATCTTAGATTTTTTTTCCCCAAACACAATTAGCATAATTATATAAACTGTCTGGAGCTCAGCTTTAGAGGCAGACAGAAGGTAAAGAAAACCGTGCCAAAAATGGGTAACTCTTCCCCTAAAATGGGTATGAAAGAATGACTGTTACCAAGTGCATGTCGAATTGGCCAGGAGAGCTTGTATTTTTTGTGGCTCCTTGCTGAAAGAGGGATCCCAAACGGTCTATGAGACCTAGGTCCAGATCAGACTGAAAGTCTTCCAGTTCCACTCTGATTTCCGCATTAACTTTAATTGGTTGTTTCTTACGAATGCTCTGAGAGGGGCAATAAGGAATAAATATTAGACAAGCAAGAAGTGAGAGAAAAAAGCTGGTAGATCATAAAATGAGGAATTCAATGAAGAAATAAAAGGCAGAAGGTCACAAAAATGCAAGAAAAGTGAATGCATTCAAATATAAATAGAGAAATAGAAGTTTTGTTTTTGAGACAATAAAGGGCAAGTGACATGATACTCACTCTAGATGGTGTCCTGTAAATCCGCTTGTAGTGCAACTGGGCACAAGGCCGAGAGGAGGAAGCTGGACTATGGAACCTCATAAGCTGTAAAAAAAAGAATGCGATACACTCAGATATCTAATCTGGTTCATTAACAGCATTGTAAAACTAATTAAATCCAGTACAGACAGATAGATGCCAGATGATAAAATATAGAAAATATATTAAAATCCTATCACTTTAAAAAGACATAACTTCTTACACCTGCCAGTTGTAGGAAGCAGTATAGGTGGATATGAGGGAAGGAAGCTGTGTCCCTCAATCCTGCCAGTTGTAGCATGCAGTATAGTTGGATATGAGGGAAGGAAGCTGTGTCCCTCAATCCTGCCAGTTGTAGCATGCAGTATAGGTGGATATGAGGGAAGGAAGCTGTGTCCCTCAATCCTGCCAGTTTTAGCATGCAGTATAGGTGGATATGAGGGAAGGGAGCTGTGTCCCTCAATCCTGCCAGTTGTAGCATGCCGTATAGGTGGATATGAGGGGAGGGAGCTGTATCCCTCAATCCTGCCAGTTTTAGCATGCAGTATAGGTGGATATGAGGGGAGGGAGCTGTGTCCCTCAATCCTGCCAGTTGTAGCATGCAGTATAGGTAGATATGAGGGGAGGGAGCTGTGTCCCTCAATCCTACCAGTTGTAGCATGCAGTATAGGTGGATATGAGGGGAGGGAGCTGTGTCCCTCAATCCTGCCAGTTGTAGCATGCAGTATAGGAGGATATGAGGGGAGGGACCTGTGTCACTCAATCCTGCCAGTTTTTCGCATGCAGTATAGGTGGGTATGAAGGGAGGGGGCTGTGTCCCTCAATCCTGCCAGTTTTTCGCATGCAGTATAGGTAGATATGAGGGGAGGGAGCTGTGTCCCTCAATCCTGCCAGTTTTTCGCATGCAGTATAGGTAGATATGAGGGGAGGGAGCTGTGTCCCTCAATCCTGCCAGTTTTTCGCATGCAGTATAGGTAGATATGAGGGGAGGGAGCTGTGTCCCTCAATCCTGCCAGTTTTTCGCATGCAGTATAGGTAGATATGAGGGGAGGGAGCTGTGTCCCTCAATCCTGCCAGTTTTTCGCATGCAGTATAGGTAGATATGAGGGGAGGGAGCTGTGTCCCTCAATCCTGCCAGTTTTTCGCATGCAGTATAGGTAGATATGAGGGGAGGGAGCTGTGTCCCTCAATCCTGCCAGTTTTTCGCATGCAGTATAGGTAGATATGAGGGGAGGGAGCTGTGTCCCTCAATCCTGCCAGTTTTTCGCATGCAGTATAGGTAGATATGAGGGGAGGGAGCTGTGTCCCTCAATCCTGCCAGTTTTTCGCATGCAGTATAGGTAGATATGAGGGGAGGGAGCTGTGTCCCTCAATCCTGCCAGTTGTAGCATGCAGTATAGGTGGATATGAGTGGAGGGACCTGTGTCCCTCAATCCTGCCAGTTTTTTGCAATGCAGTATAGGTGGGTATGAGGGGAGGGGGCTGTGTCCCTCAATCCTACCAGTTGTAGCATGCAGTATAGGTGGATATGAGGGGAGGGACCTGTGTCCCTCAATCCTGCCAGTTTTTCGCATGCAGTATAGGTGGGTATGAAGGGAGGGGGCTGTGTCCCTCAATCCTACCAGTTGTAGCATGCAGTATAGGTGGATATGAGGGGAGGGAGCTGTGTCCCTCAATCCTGCCAGTTGTAGCATGCAGTATAGGTGGATATGAGGGGAGGGACCTGTGTCCCTCAATCCTGCCAGTTTTTCGGAATGCAGTATAGGTGGGTATGAAGGGAGGGGGCTGTGTCCCTCAATCCTACCAGTTGTAGCATGCAGTATAGGTGGATATGAGGGGAGGGAGCTGTGTCCCTCAATCCTGCCAGTTGTAGCATGCAGTATAGGTGGATATGAGGGGAGGGACCTGTGTCCCTCAATCCTGCCAGTTTTTCGCAATGCAGTATAGGTGGGTATGAGGGGAGGGGGCTGTGTCCCTCAATCCTACCAGTTGTAGCATGCAGTATAGGTGGATATGAGGGGAGGGAGCTGTGTCCCTCAATCCTGCCAGTTGTAGCAAGCAGTACAGGTGGATATGAGTGGAGGGAGCTGTGTCCCTCAATCCTGCCAGTTTTTCGCAATGCAGTATAGGTGGATATGAGGGGAGGGAGCTGTGTCCCTCAATCCTGCCAGTTGTAGCATGCAGTATAGGTGGATATGAGTGGAGGGACCTGTGTCCCTCAATCCTGCCAGTTTTTTGCAATGCAGTATAGGTGGGTATGAGGGGAGGGGGCTGTGTCCCTCAATCCTACCAGTTGTAGCATGCAGTATAGGTGGATATGAGGGGAGGGACCTGTGTCCCTCAATCCTGACAGTTTTTCGCATGCAGTATAGGTGGGTATGAAGGGAGGGGGCTGTGTCCCTCAATCCTACCAGTTGTAGCATGCAGTATAGGTGGATATGAGGGGAGGGAGCTGTGTCCCTCAATCCTGCCAGTTGTAGCATGCAGTATAGGTGGATATGAGGGGAGGGACCTGTGTCCCTCAATCCTGCCAGTTTTTCGCAATGCAGTATAGGTGGGTATGAGGGGAGGGGGCTGTGTCCCTCAATCCTACCAGTTGTAGCATGCAGTACAGGTGGATATGAGTGGAGGGAGCTGTGTCCCTCAATGGACTTTACAGTAAAACCAAAATTCCTATTTTCTCTATTGTCCATTGAGGGACACAGCTCTAAAAATTCTGAGACATAGGTATTTTCAAAAGCAGTCCAAACAGAGGGGGCAGACACCACAACAACTAGAAAGAACCAGCACAACAAAAAAATTGAACTGTCAAAATATACTTAAATAGTTGCCTGAAGAACTTTTCAAAACTAGCACCAGAGGAGAAAGTCCAATCCAGTTAATGAATAAATTGAACGAGAAAAATATTCTAACTTGTTGCCAGTAGGATCCTTAAAAGAAGGAGCACCATCAATCGGAACAGTCAAAGCCTTAATAAAACGAAAAACCGGAGGATCAACCTTGGGAGGGATATACCATTTTTTGACAAAATCTTCCAGAAAAAAAATAGAGAGATTTGAACTGTTTAGGCACCAAGGATTGCCTATCTGGAAATTCCCAATCCTTGCAATTAAAACAATCAAAAACAGAATGAAGAAGAAAAACCTTTGAAACATGTTAAGTTTTGTGAGAACAAGGACTAGACACAATAAAAAGGAGAAGAAACAAATGAATCCTTTAAATTTAAGTGGAACGTACAGCCTTTACGTCTGATGCTGAAATCATAGATGACGGAAAATCAGTTGGAAGATCTCCGTCTTCCCCAAGGGAAGGAAGAGAATCAGCATCAGACAAGGAATCTTCTGAAACACTGCAGCAGATGCAGAAATATCAAGCATCTCTACCACAGAAATCACAGGAGAAGGAGACTGGCAATGCTTTTTACCACTATGTGCAGTAGCAACGAGATTTTTTTTAAACGGAGCCAAAAACATTCCATAATAGAAGAAAATTCAGCCTTTGTGGGAAAAGAAGAAATAGAAGTACTATAAGGAAGGTGGTATAAAAAACAAAGGCAGACAAAGGATTGTCAGATTTCGCCATGACAGAAATACAATTAGTCCAAACTGTCCCTGTGGCAATCTCCGCCTTCAAAACAACACAAAAGGTGATCAGAGAGGGAGATTCGTCACTAACCAAAGTATGGTCGCCCTCGTCGTTTGGAAACGGCCATAATATCATTTTTTTTCATATAAGGCAATACACCTTTAAAAAAATAGCACAAATCTCCTCACAATACTCAGGGCACAGCATCACAAAAAAACTACCTCAGACAGCAGGAGAAAGATGCACAATCGTCGTTCTCAAGCAACCGTCCCCTAACAGACCTCTGAGTGAAGCACGGGAGGAGAGCTAAGGAAGCAGACACACCATGACAGATGTAACAGTCCGCAGCCGAAGACTTCAACAGAGGACAACAACAAAAAAAGTCCCGCCTGTGCACACATGTTCGGTAGAATACAAGTGCGTCATCAGGCCCAAAGTCCCAGCCTCTCATACTCAGAATGCAGAGCCAGAATATACGAGTGATGACACACTAAGCACACAGCATAGAAATGATAGGTGGGAAAAACCCCAGCCCAACATTAGTGCAACATTAAATGTGCAGTTACTCACAACCTCACGGCCCTGGCCCCATCATTAGCAAAGGAATGCCCAAATAATACTGACCTGACCTCAATGTATGCCTGACCCCAATAAATGAACAGATGACCAAGGGAGCACAGGACCACTGCAGGACGAATCATCACTACGGAGGCCAGAAACGTCCTGCTTCCTGACAACTAGAAACTTCCAGGATTTAACTTACCTGGCATGAATCTCTCACTTTTGTTGGCTAGCTAGTAAAACTTCCAGGATTTAATCATATCTGACAGGAATCAACTAGCAGCTCTTGACAGGAGAATATCACCAAAGATATATATAAACGCAGAAGAAAAAGGAGACATCCATTCACTTGAGGACACTAAGCAAAACTGTCAGGTGTGAAGTGGGAGGGGTTATGTCCTTTTAAGTGGCAGGCTGTTCATTTTTTTGCCTAGTGTCCATATTTTCTGGAGGCAGCAGCATAACCCTACATCTCAGAATTCTTCAGAGCTGTGTCCCTCAATGAATGACAGAGAAAGCATGATTTTTCTGTGTCGTCAGGTTCAGATAGGTAGTTAGTGTAGTTACACTTATATAGCAGTATAGCGTATGAACTCTCTCTATAGCTTTGAACGAAAAAAGTACAGAACAGGCCTGGCCCATAAGATTTTGACAAGCAGCTCAGGGGCTTAGTGGACAATATCTTGCTGCAACAGGGACAAGTGGGTATAACACATGCAGGGGGATTCTGGGGGCAAGCTAAGGTACAATATAAGTTGAACTGCCATTTCCATTCCTCTACACATTACTGATATTAACCTTGTGTGCCAAGCCACAAAATCTTTCAGATCTGATTATAAGTTAGCAGAGATAGGACTGTTTTAAACATACAGGTAGCCCAACTGGTGGGTACAGTTTTTAGATCTGTTGGCTGATCTGCTACACTATACTACTGACCATTCAGTGCAGATGTGAATGCACTATCATATACACCCAGTATTGTACATTTAACTGACTGCAGTTACCTGAGTGCAACAGCTTTATTCTGAATAAGCAGCCATGTGTATGCTATACAGGCACATTCAGTGCTAACTTCATGCCAGTGAACAAATGCATACATACCTCTGTATACTCAGGATTTGTTTTCTTCTTGGAAGGATGACTTGGCCAAAGGCATTCCAAAATCTCCAGCATTCCACAACTGAGGTCCACAGTACTGTGCTGTATACCTTTACCAGACCTCTGCTCACACACTATCTGGACTGTTAATGCTGTAGTCCTGCCAAAGGAAAAAAAAAACATTTAATAGTTTATATAGATCATTATCACAAGGGTTCAGTATCCAATAAGCAGTGTAGAATTCCTAACTTTGTCATGGGTGAAAACCCTTCAGCAAACAGCAATTAAAGTAAATTCCCCATTATCTGGCATTCAAGCAACCTGCACACACACAAAAAAAAAAAAGCACAGATCGAGGACGTAATATGTACCAATTTGTTTGGTTGCTTGGTGCACACTAAAAAATGTTGTTTGCAACTAAATCTATTTAGTTGCTAACGAAACTCGTTTACATCTTATTGCTGGCCGGCGGCTAGATTCCACAATAGCCAATAGTAGGCTGGCCATTGCACCCGCCCACTGACCAGAGGATCGGACCTGAGAAAGAACTTTCTCCCTCAGTGTCCGCTTCTCTGCTCAGTGGGCGGGTGCAATAGCCAGCCTGCTATTGTAATTTTTGTAATAGTCAATAGAAGGCTGGCTATTGCTCTCAGCTGCTTCCATTCACCTGTTGGCTGCGGCTACGATTAACCACCAGAAACTACAGTTATCCGGCACCTACTGATCCCAGTGGGTGCCAGATAACTGGCAGTTAACTGTACTTATTGAAGTAAACCTGAAGTGACACTTAAGTGTGTAAACTGAGTGAATTTGGACAGAACAAAGAACTGGTCCTTACCAGTGGCATTAACAGAAAACTTAATTTAAGTTTCATATAATAAAAAAAAGACATTCATAACTTAAGTTAGTCCCGACCGCGAGAGAGTTGAGAAGGAGGTAGTTCCTGCCCTGCCTGACCTCTTTCAATTATGACATCGGGTCATTGCATGACCCCATAAAGTACCTAGCTCTCACATGATCTTTCTTGCTGGTATATATTGCTCAAGCTGTAGTGAATGCTTCTGCAGAATCTGGGAGAGATGGCCCCCATGAAGACAAGATGGCGACACCCAAGCACGTGTTGGTGCCAAGAGGAAGATGGTAACATACAAAACACAACCGCATTGGTGCCAAAAGGAAGACAAGATGGTATTTGTGCCTAAGAATTACCCTGAAAATGCAGTTTTTGACTTTTATTCCTTTTCAAAAATAGCAGTGTGCTTCCAGACATGTGCTGATACAGACTCGCAATTGTGAATGTGGATTGTGGATTTCATGCATTGATACCTCTGACTACTGGTCTTTGAGTAAGAGTTGGTGATGTCACTACTGTACTGCCTACCATACTGGAGGTTCCAACATATGAGAAGACAAAGCCCTACCTCTATCAAGATGGCTGCCTATATATAGAGACAGCGCGAAAAATGGCATAGTTAGTCAGTAATGGGGAAATGATCAGCTGCAGGGAGAGTACAGGCAGTACTCGTGACTAATATTTTGCCCATACACTTGCCTTTTATAAGCAAGCCTTCCAAAGTTCAGTTCCTTAATAAGTCCAATTTAAACAATAAGTAGTTGGTTAGAAAAAATAAAGTCCTTATTACAGAGAACTTTTAAAAGCAAAAGCACTGAAGTGCAAAATGAGGCTTTAGCAAGCTAAATGTTGTCCAGTTTGGGTTTAGAGCTACTTTAAAGTGACAATAAACACAGGAGTTAAATCTTAGAAATGCAGTCACATACAGTAACTACCGTAATAACAAAAATGTATCTTATTTGTGTATCACTCAGCTGTACATCCTCAAATCATCTCTGAATTCATACTGATACTGTCCTTCTTTCTGGAGGGTGGCTACTTATGTTCCTCATGATCCCTGTGTGTGTGTGTGTGTTGTAAAAACTAGCCACTGCTCCAAGCTTGCTCCCGCCATGGACTACAATCTACCTTTAGTTTACTAATTTGTATTGAGGTTGTAGTCCCTCACAGAAGTGAGTTTGGAGTGGTGGCTACTTTACAACACAGACAGGGACCATGGGAACAAAAGTAGCCACCGTCCAGAAGGAAGGACAGTGTCAGCACCAATTCAGAGATGATTTGACAATCTACAGACGAGTGATACACAAATAAGATACATTCTTGTTAATCGTTAGGGTACTTGAATTCATTTGTAAGATTAAACGCCTGAGTTCATTGTCACTTTAAAGAATAATTCCAGTAAACACTCTGCATTTACCCTGAAGCAATAGGCACTTCTGCTTTATTCTGTTCAAGGGTGTCCTGGTCAAACACTACGTGCATCATTCAAACCCATTTAGCACCATTTGAATGGAATACGGAAAGAAGATCAAACGCAGTCCTTGAGCTGCCATGGGTACTGCTCACTTAAAGTCAAAAGGGATTCTGCTAACCTGCATTTGGGGTGTATTCCAAATAAAAATGTTGCTTGTTATAGTGAGGATTTATAGTTGCTATAGTTAGACAGATATAGTTGAAGAATGAATTTGTGAACTGTATTCCTAAACATTTTATAGTAATCTGGAAGAACCAGCTTATTTAGTTGTTTCACCATTATTTTGAACCAAAGAAATGCATTGTTAGTTTATAAAATGACTACTGACTTATTCCAAGAATGTAGTTTACCAACAAGCTTTTAGTATTTTGTACGGTTACACCATTTTTGAAATTCCATTGACAATTTCATTTATTGTATCGGATTCTCTTGCTTAGGTGCCCACTAAATCATCAGGTGTAGATAAACATGTTCACAGATGCATTCATACAGTGATAGCCAAAACAACAGAATGATTTACATTATCCAAGACGAATATGCCCAGGTTTGTTTGTGAAACGACCAATTTGAAAATTCTTCCCAAACTGTTTTGCAACAGTGTTCCCAAAATGTGGGAAGAAAAAGATAAAGCACACAGTACATTTGATATTGGAAGAGTTTGTATTGTAACTTTATTTATCGAATCAATTTTACTATCACGCAGGGTACATCCAAAATACTTTTTGGTTAAAAACAAAATATACCTTCTGAAATACAGCCCATTATAAGGTAATTCAGTATGACAAGTTGGAAAGATATAAAAGAGGTTAGTGTGTCAGAAGACACCTATACAGTAAGAAAGTATTCCTATACATTGACTAAACTTGTCTTTTTACCTTAACATAAAAGCCGTCACTGCTGACCGATTCTTCTGAAAAGGCTACTTATTTGACAATGACCAGGAACAAAGTACATAGTTCAGGAATTGCGACTTCACACCTAAGCTGCATGTCTGTTGCAGGTCTTGCTGTCATGTGGACAATTGATGTGGTTTTAAAAAGGCAAAAGGGTCGGGGGTATTGGTTTTTGGTGGTGGCAGTGGTATTTCATTAAAAAAATAAAGGGTCAGGCTGCAATTGTCACTTCCTTCACAAGTACCATTTTCAGAAGGAGTTCAGCAATGGCAGTCTTCATGTTTCTCTCAGTACAGGTTTGCTTTAACATACTTTCAGTATTCACATTATAAAGCTATGTTGTTATCAGGCCATGCATTCTTGTTGGGCACGAGTCTGTATGTATCATTTAACTAATTTGATAATGCAGTCTGTACATGTACAAGTGGCTTTCACAATCCTAATGCAGTAGTTTTTACTTTTCAGAGTGTTCAGTGATAAGCATATTGGAAATCAAAGAGCTTCTTTTTGGTTTCCACTGGCATTCCTTTAAAAATGAAATCTGTTATTAAAATGAACTTGTTGTTATATCCACCACTGTTTAAACAAATAACATAAAGGTAAGGTGTAGTCATAGTCTCAACTTGGACAGAAGTGGAGGTACTTGGGCTGATTTACTAAAGGAGTGGATAATTTCCACTCAATAAATTGTATGAATAATCACTACATTTATCCAATCATGGGAAAAGTAAATTCCTGTTTACCAGTTTGCTTTTCACATGAATGAATAACTCCCCTGGTCCATTCCCAGAACACCCTTCATTCTGTAAATGAAGGCTTTTTGTGAATGGACAAGGCAGGAGGAGTGTGTGGGTGAACGACTCAATCCATTGCTGTATGAGTGCAGCCATTCTCATAGCCATCGCCTGGAGAGGAGTGCTGTGACTGGCATCCAGCATGAATAAAAGCAAGATTTCTACAGTAAACAGCAGCCATCTGGCTGGATACACATCATAATGGGATTTACCACTATTCCAAAAGATAAAACATTTCTGGAGTTCTGCTTTAATCACACCAAGGGGTCTTTTCCAAAAAAAAAAAATGTTACACAATATTCAACCAACATTCCCACATTTGCTAATTGAAATATGTGTGAATCCTGGGTAAAACAAAATGTGAGAAGCTTGTGTAAAAACATATCCACAAACATTAAAGACTTCTTTTGTGAACCTAGTAACCTAAATTTGTCACAAAAATGTATTTTCTGAAAAAATGATTGAGAAATAAAAATGTTTTACCAGTTTTAGACTGACATTAATTGAATTTATTTGCAATGCTCTGTAAAAGAAGTCATCATGAAAGTCCTAAACATTTTGAGGGTTATATACAGCAGGGTAAAGAGTTTGGAGAAGGCATGAGAAGTGAACAATCTAGGACAACATAGCTGAACTGTAAAGTGAACTGAATTGGAGAACGTTTCCAAATTAGCTATTTTGGCCTAGATTGTTCACTTCCTCAAACTCTTCCCCCTTTTGTGAATAACCGTGTTTGTTACTTTTGTATGTGGAAGTAAAACTGCTTTGAATTTTTTTAGTTTTGGCCTAATTTGCAAGTATGGACAGCACCGTAGGTTAAACGTGTGGCCTTCTCCAGCGTGTCGGATCGACCTTCGCACTGTCCCCCACTGTCACCATTCAAAATTCCTGATGATGTTACCCCCTCCATGGCATCCTGCCAATTCACAGCGTCTTACAGATGCTGTGAATGGGTTGAGTGTGTTCACTGTACAGCGCATGCAAGTGTACAGACAAAAATTTTTTAAACGCTCTTCTTCTTCTTCTCGAGAGAGAAAAATCCTGCCTCCCAGCGTTCTTCTACTTTCTCACTTCACTCCGCTTTAAAAGGATGTGGGTGAAAAAATACGAAACTTGCTGGTCTCACCTGTCATGTTTGATATGTGCTACAGTGTGGTATGTTACACGACCTGTACTTGTTACCTGACAATTCATTTGTATACATTAATGGAGCTCGTGTTGTGTCTAAAGCTGGTGATATGTTATTAGATTTCAAGTCTGACCATTTCCTTTATCCATGCTAAACAGCAAGGGTAGATGAATCTCCTGCTGCCGTTGATTCAGTCATTGAATTTTGACAAGCCAGCATGGACACACACTGTAAGAGTTTCAGCTGATTTCTATGAATCAGCCAAAATGCTAACAGTGTATTGTCGGCCTTAATACTTTTGTTGTACTCTTTTGGTTTGTAACCTATTCAAACTTTCAATAAAAATCAGAAAATCTAAAAAAAAAAAAATGATTAGCAGGAAGTTGCTAAAGGTCTGACAGCCAACAATCAGATGCAAACTTGAACAGAAAGCTTGACAATATGAATCAGCAAAAACGTTTTTTTCCATGTGCAGCTGCATTCTAAATTATCAGTATAATAAAATTAACTTCATACATCCCACCTGATCGCTCCTAGCCTCTTACCTGACATTGCTCAACTGACAAGCTCTTTGGAAATGCTCACGAAGATGCCCAAAGTCTCGTCCACTAAAAGCAGCATCTTTGAAGTACCCCAGTTCCTTAAAAAAATTACTGGCTGCTTCTTGACTGTTCGGGTCCCCCGCAGAACTGGCATTGCTAGGAATGTGGGGCACAGTTATGGTAAGGCCACCCACTGTCAACTTTAGAAGCATCTCTGATTTTAGAGGCTCCAGAGGAGACTGGGAAGACTGTTTTCCTGTCAAAATAAAAGGTAAAATAGTTCACAAAAGTAGACATGTCCATTATATTGTTTTTAAGCAACTCTGTCAAGAAAAAAAAATGGCATCAGATATAAAGTGCTGCTACTACTAAGCGCAAGGCCGTTCTGAGAAACAAAGCTCTGACATGTCCTAGTAGTGTAAAAGTTTGCATGCTCCGTTGCACCTAACAACCATGTAAGCAGCAGCATACTTATTTCATTTTTGTATCCATCTTTTAAGACTTTACAATATAAAGTGGAACCTAGGCTTTCAAACTTACAATAGTTATCAAAATAAGCTGAAATATGTGTTAGTTTCGAATTATATATTTATGCAGGAAATCCCATACCACCCAAATATATATTCATTTGTGTAGTAGTTGTAAGGTTGGGATTGCTTCTTACATCTCCCCAGTAATAAAATATGAATCACAATTCCCAGTTTTTCCTATATGATGGGAAAAAGGGCCAAATTATTGTGTCTGGCCCCTCTAAAAAATCCTCCATTATTGTAATTGTAGATAATGTATAGTATTTCAAATGTTGTAAAATACAGTATGAACATAAAAAGAGATTAGCTGGATGTATATAAGCTTTTCAATAATCCCATACTACCTTGGTACAGGTTTACTTTTATGAAGGTGGTAGAGTAAGCATATATTGGTTTAATATATGAAAGGCAAATAGGCTGTTCATTTTGCAAAGGGATTTTCCCTTAGTTCAATGAATGTGGTGAAAATTCACTTTTCAAAGAATACCCAATTACATGCAAGGAAAAAAAAATATATACATTTTTGCTTCCACTTGTTTGGATAAAGAAAGTCAGCAGAGCTTCACCTCATTCATTAAGCTAAGGGACAATTGACTTGCAAAGTGAACAGTCTATTTGGCTTTAGTAAATCAGTCCCACTCTTTTCTCCCTCTAGTGGCTAATCTACAATATTTATTTAAATGAAATATGCACTCAGGAAATGAAAGGGTATACAAAAACCCAAACAATGAACTTATTTTATTTGCTCCATTTAAATAAAACATAAATAATACATAAATATGGGTTATTTCAAAGTTACATTTGTATACTATTTAAATGAAGCAATAAGAGGAATTAATTGTTAGGCTTTATATACCCTTAACATTTGTCACTGCATGTTTTATTCATACCCTTGAAAGCACTTTGTTAGAACCGTTTGATAAGTGCAAAGGCATACCCGCTGTTTCTGCCAGAAATCTAGTGAGCTTCCTGTGCTCGCTGACTTTTATGTTAGCAGGCTTATCAGTCATGTCCACGACTCTTTGTGGACAGCAGAACATCTCACCCTATGTTATGGAGATAAGGAAAGTGGGAGGTGTTCAGTAGCCCTGAAACACTGCCTGTCCTAGGGTGACAACACTACTCCTCCAAGAATACAGTACGGTAAGTGAACCGTGCTACCTTAGGACAGGAAGGTTGTTACTGGCAGGACCACCAGGTGTAAATAAAGGGAAAAAAGCTTGAAAAAGGAAAAACACAGCCACCCCCATCGAAGGACTAGTAAGCTGCAATATATCACATTTTTTATCTTGGGTATAGATACAGTTTCCCTCTGTAAAATATTGAAGCTAGAGACAGTTAGGCAACTAGCATTTTCAGATAGTTTGAACAAGAGGATAGTCTGAACTCCTAACTTGAATTCTTGTACAGCTTAACCACTTTGATGACCAGGGTGTTTACACCCCCTTCCTGGCCAGGCCATTTTTCAGTATTCAGCGCTGTGGTACTTTGGCTGACGCTTATTCCGTCATGCAACGCTGTACTGAAATGAATTTTATACCATTTTTTGGGGGGACACAGAGCTTTCTTTTGGTGGTATTTAATCCCCACTGGGTTTTTATTTTTTACTATATAACAAAAAAGTACTGAATATTTTTTTCAAAAAATGGTTTTCCCTTTATTATTTTACCCAGTTTTTTGCTAAAATATTAAAGTCGGGGTCACGTCGGGTAAATAGACACCAAACATGTCAAGCCTTAAAATTGCGCGCGCGCAAAATCGCTAAAAGACACTATAGCCAAAATTAGTCAGAGGCGACGCTTCAAAAGATTTTACCACTCATCAGTTTAGTGTTATCAGGGATTGATGGCCCTAAAATTATTGCTCTCATTGCGACATTTGCGGCGATATGCAACATGTGCGGCATAATTGGAGCAATCGTCGTTTTAGCTTGTGGGCGCATCTAACGCATTTTTGCGCATCTATGTGGGGGTGGGGGACTTTAAAAGATTTTCGTGGGTTTTTTTGTTTTGTGTTTTTTTTTACACTTAACTTTATTGTTATCACATAGGGTGCTAAGAAGTGCCCTATGTGATAACAAATTACAGTGACAGGTCCCCTTTATGGAGACATCAGAGGTCTCTAAGACCCCTGTCACCTAGGGACCCCCAGAGAAGCTGATGAAGCACAGATCTGCTTAATCAGCGTCTCTCCGGTTTCAGTACCGGAGAGTGACAGAGGAATGCGGAAGTGACGTAATATACATCACTTCCTGCATTCAGAGACCGGGAGGAGAGCGGAGGGAGATCGGGTCCTGATCTCCCTCTGTTCTCAGTGCACAGAGAGACAACGCCTGGACCAGATGGACGCCCGGGATCGCGGGGACCAGAGGTAAGGAGGGGGGGGGCGCACCCTCACTTGTATCATAAAAGTGATCGGGCGTCTTTACAGACCCCGGACCGCTTGTATGTAAACGGCCATCGCTGGCCGTTTAAAATCGAGGCGGTTTCCCACTTGTGCGCAGCAGGGGGCGCGTGTGAGCGGGCACCCACCCGCATCAAGGAGACTCCTGTCTGGCCGTCTTCCAGCGATCGGCGGACGGGAGGTGGTTAAAGCTTTGAACGTTATAAAAAAAAAAAAAGTACAGGACCTGTTAAATTAAAGATGGTTCTACTAACTGTGTGTGCTTCATGGTAGCTGCACAAAATGTTAATTAAAACAATATTTATTTATTTTTTAAACACTAAAATCAGTATTTGCACACACAAATGCAACTTCATAACTTCTTACTAAATCTAAAAGATAAAACTGTATTGAGTTCACAAATAACAACTATTTAAAAATCTTAAATCTTGCCTTTATGCAAAACTGTGAATAAGCAACTTAAGCTAAAAACCTCAGCGTAGTCTTGACACCTAAGTGTTGTGGTAATGCACCATCACCAATTTGATGAGTGGCAGTGCCATTCTTTTTGGTGCGTGGCGGTGCCATGCATTTTGAATGGCACCCGAACGTACCTTGCCAGCGCTCCTTAATGCGTTTGCTTTTCAGCACATAATGCACAGATGGGAAATATCTGTATTGTGGTGCTCTGGGTTGGGCAAAAAAGGTTCATGTTTGTTTGTAAGTTGTAGTGCACTTGCACCCAATTTAAAATTAATGCGCTGCAAAACACAGTGTACGTTGATGAATGACACACACATTAAGAGACACTGTCACTTTGCCCATACAACTGCTAGAGTAACATGGTTTTTATGGCCTTGCAGGAGAGGGCAGTGACACTAACTTGACTACTGAGGCCCCAACGAATAAAAAGGTGGTGGATATTTCACCCTTCAACTGCCTATAAAAAAAGAAAATATCAGTTTTTGGGTGCAGATTGTCACCATCCATGCTATGCTTCCGTGTTTGATGGTATAGCATAGAGACTGTGTATTTTATGTTCCTCCTCTCAGCATAAGCCTATGGTCAGACCTCAGCCAACCTTTAGCCATAGAGGAAAGGTAAAGAAAACGTACATATGTACAATGCAAAGCTTGTGCGTGCATGTGTGTGTGTGTGTGTGTGTGTGTGTGTGTGTGTGTGTGTGTGTAGCATAACCTAGCAACTGGTACAGAGTTACATTGACAGATTTTTGCTCTTCTCTGCTCAAGCTGAGAGATAATAGGTACTGGGGGATAACTGGTAGCACTGATATCCACATGACTGCCAGTATTACCATCAGAGCACTAGCATATGAGAACACACACTGTATATTGAATGCACAGTATAGTGAGCTGGGTATGGTGTAATAAAAGATATACAGTACATATTCCATAAAATGACTGATCCCCTAATGTTGCTACAGCTTTCTAGACAGGGGGGAAAAAAGACACAATGGTAAAGAAAACTTGAAGCAATTTAGAACTTACCCTGGACCCTGTGAAGGTTTTGAAGTGTGAAAGCTCTATCTGTCCCTGAAAAATGGTATGAAATTCATTTCAGTACAGCGTTGCATGATGGAATAAACATCAGTCAAAGTACCGCAGCGCTGAATACTGAAAAATGGCCTGGCCAGGAAGTGGGTGAAACACCATGGCCTTTAAGTGGTCAAAACAAGAATGCTCAAAGTAAATCGCATTTCCCACCAGGCTCAGCTCACGGTCTTATGCATTTCACCCCACATCAAGGTTTAACCATAGAGGCCAATGAAAAGGGTTTTACACAGGTAAATATTTACTGAAAAACACTAAATAAAAAAATCAGTCTTTCAAGCTGCTTTTTTTTAATCAATATTGTTCTACATCTGGCCACACACTTAACAATCTGATGTACAATCTCCTCTAGAATTACAAACAACCATGTAAAGTAAGAGTCAACCTAATCAATCCATTTGGTTTTAAATGCAATTCCTCACATTAACTGCTTAAAAAAACTAAAGCAGATTGTATATTAAGAAAAGAAAGCATGTGGCCAACATACTGTAGGGAGAATGTATAACTCTAAACTCCATATTTCTTTAGACCACTTTCTTATGGCTGTGGGTGGGAAGAAACCACCAGCTGTTAACATAAAAGTTATCAGATGGTGGAACACTAAATGAAATAAATGATATAGTAGGATCGCATACATAATTATTAATTCATAACTGGTACTATCCTCACCCCAGGAGTAAAGGCTGGACTTTGAAAAGAATGACCACTGTGATCACTATAGACGGAGGAATCAAGGTCCACATCTGACAATTCCGTTGTAGACCGGATAGAAGTAACACTATTTGTCAATGCAGCCATTGAAAAAAACATATCTGCAAAGAGGAAACATACATAATCAAAATTCATCTTTTTACTACCAGCTGACCTGTCCTAAATGTTCATATTATCTCAAATAGCAATATGTGAGCTGCCACTGCTGACTTGTCTTTAAATGGTGTAGGCTGGCTCCACGGCTGTCAAGGTAACCCTGGCTTTACCCAGTAAACAATGTACTGGAACAAGAATGCAGCCAGTGAAGAGTGAAAAGTCTGAACTCTGAATACTTCTTCCAGATTAGTAACCCACTATATAATGAAGTCAGGGTAGGAATGACAGTGCTGGAGCCTGTGCCTTTCTGAAAAACAAATCAGCAGTGGTAGCTCCCACAATGCAGTCTCCGCAGGCATACTTTATAAAAAAAAACAGTGCAAGAACCCATAGACGCTGGATTTTAGTTTACTGTTGTTAGAAACCAGTGAAAAATTACTTGTTACTAAGTATGACTGCACTTTGCACTACCTTGTTAATCCAGTGGGGAGGTTATCACCATACTACCGTAATACACGGGAATTTTTTTTACACCTCTAGCAAATATTACCCTATGTTGAAGTGTCTTGTCTTTTATATCATTGCTCTATGGCAAGCATTCCTAAAATATCAGGCACAAAGGGCCTGATTTACTATGGGCTGGTTCACAGCACAAAGGCTGTGTTCCAGAGCATTCAGCCTCTGGAACGCAAGCTGGCAAGCACTATTTTTGCAAATCACACAGAACCGGAACACAGGCACTAATATGCCTGCGTTCCAGGTCCGGGCGATTGCACTGCGGGCCGGGGGCGTGGCTGAGGTGCCATTGACTTAAATTCACCGCCACGTCCCCTCCCGCCATCATTCTCATGATTCCTGGACATGTTTCCGAAAACAGTTTGCACATACCAATTTATCAGCCAGCGGGACTCCACCGCATACCCAACAGGAGTTCTTCTTGGTGTGTGTGTGGGAAGGCTCAGGCCGAACGCTCTGGAATGCAGCCTTTGTGATGTGAACTGGCCCTAAAGGTGTAGTGCATGTTAACTTTGTAAAGTAAATTTTCACTTAACTACCGTATATAAGGTGATAAGGCGAAGCTAAGTGAAATTCACTTTGCAAAGAATACCCAATCATGTGCATGGAAAATGTAAAAAAAAATTGATTTTGCTCACACATGATAGGATTATTGAGGTCAGCACAACTTCACCTCATTCATTAGGCTAAATGAAAATTCATTTTGCAAACAGAACATGTTCTACTACTTTAATAAACCAACCTCTAATTTCAATCCCTATCCATGTAACAGTACCTATGGGCTGCGGTGATGGTAAGGCAACAAAACGTCAGCCACAAAGGTTCAGAGTATGAAATGGAAGTGGAATACTTCGGTAACATCAGTGCCTCTGAGCACCCTTCCCTTCACAGGTTGACCAACAGAACATTACCACCAAGTCATTGAAACCCAGCTAGTGTGATTGAGGGATTTTATAAAGAAACCTCACCTCCATTCTCTAATGTCTGGAAGGGCACAAGCTCAGGGTCTGGAATGAAGAAAGATCCAGGCCCTGACTGCAGCTGCTGGTTCAAGTCTTGCTCAATCAGCTTTAAATCCTCCATGTCCAAAGGACGACTTTTCAGCAGCTTTTCCCTAATACTGCTTGATTCTGTAAAGCACAACAAAAATGCATTCAAACGATGTGTACACAAAAACAGTTACATGCTGATATTGCTTCTTACAGTGATCATCTTCCAAGCTCACCTGAAAGACTCAAGGCATCCAATAATTGCTGCAAGTTAGCTATCTGGCTTGGATTCAGGAACAAATGCAGAGACCCAAGTTTCCCATCAATATCGAGCTGCAAACAAAAATATTCACTGCAATTAATATTTTAAAGAAAAACTAGACTGATTTTGGGTCAATTTTATGTATTTTAAGATCATACATTTTAAACTGTTATTTTATATTGTTTTGAATATATGCATAATCCTTGTGTTACACATAAACATGTAATACAAGACAAAGGATTCCCAAATCACTAGGAACTAGTAAAAGAGACATCACAAGAAAGGAAGCTTGCTTTGCAACTTTCTTTGTCAGGCAAGCTGAGCCATGTGATAAGACACGAGCCACTGCTTTGACAAACCATAACTAGCTGAAAGTTGAAAAAGCTGCATATGTAAAAAGGAGATGAGGGCTACATCTGCTGGCTGGATAGAAGACGTTAAGATTAAAGTACAACTAATGGCTCCTATACGACAGCCTAAACAAGTACCAAATCCAGTTACAAATGGGAGGACACGGTTCTACTTTATTCATGCAATATTTCATACTTACCTAACACTATACAAAATATATCATGTCCCATTTGTATACTAGCTTCCCACAGCCTCATTTTATATTTTAAGTCTGCTTAAAATATAAAAGCAGCTATTCATCTTCTTAAGCAGAGAGGTATACGAGTTCTATATTGCTAATCTCCATCAAAATCAGAAAAAAAGACCAAAAAACAGAATATTATTTATGTAGATTTTAAAAGATTAGCAAATACTAAATTATATTTTTTTTAAATAATTATATCACTTGTTATTTTTGGAAATTGTTTAGACAGGTATACATTTAGAGAGTACAGCCAAGAAATGGCTATTCTTTAGGGATTGCCTGATAAAAATGACACATATCAGGAGATGCCTGAGAAGTATTTGTGGTTAAAAAAGATGCATTAATTATAATAAAGTTTGAAAACAGTGACCCCAGTTTTGCTGCTGCATGTACTTAAAAGTCTTTTATATTCCACACAAAGCAATGTTGACATGGGCTCTAATTTGTTAAGGATTACTGAATAAATGTTGACTTGTTGCTGCTACGGGTTACAACACTTATCTGATTTCCTTGTGTATTAAACAAAGGGCAGTGTGCATCAAAATATTAAATTACATACTAAGTTAATCTGAAAGTGTGTGTGTGTGTGTTAAGAAACATAGATAGATCACAAGTACACATATGCACATAATTATGCTTTCACTTCTAAAGTGTGACAAAAACAGTCTTTTATACTTTATTATTACAGGCTTCAACATGTTTAAAGACTTGGTAAATCACCTTTGGTCCAGGAAACATATCGTTCTGCTTTAATTTGATGATAAGTTCTGTGCAGCCAGAGCAGCTGCCTATTTGGAGAGTGGGAGAGCTGGGCGGTGTAGGTTGTGTAGGTCCACTGGGGGCCCCTTCAGGATGCAATGGATCTTGCACTGTGTGCTTTGTAGATGGAGGCGGGTCCTAGAAGGAAAAAAAGAGTGAGGAAGCTAATAGAGTTCTCTTTTATCAGGCAATCTTTCTGATAAGTATACATATAATATGCACTAACATATAACAAAACAGCTATTTGATTATATTTTCAAAATTAATCTCACACACATACATATATATATATATTGTATACCATAAATAATTATTATTATGATATTCTCAAATAACGCAAAGCTCTCTAACTGTAAAATTAGCTACTGCATAGGGGAACCCTGGATTGCAATGGTAAATAAATAATAAAGTTAATGCCGTGCCTCATGTATCAAATGGAAGTGCCTCTGTGGTGTCAAAAAGAACAGAGCATCTTTTATTTTATAGCATAGACTTGATAAGGGAAGCAGACATTTTCCTTTTGGATACTTTGCCCATATGAGCAAATCATCTAAAGCTAAACTACAGGCAGAAAGAAATAATAAAACCGATCAGAAGTGGTATTATGCCCTGTTCATGGTGCTGATGCCACTTGACAGGTTACTTTTTTTTATCTTTACCAATTCAAATTGAAAAAAAAAAAAAAATATGTTAAAAGGAAAAACAACTTCAGTTAACCCACAGCATATGATCTACAACCAGTGGTTGCACCATAAGTGGTGTCCCCAACCCATTAGTATAAAGTGAGCTGGGTGACACCCAATACAGCACAACTGTCTCCCCATGCTTCCCCCATAAGTCTAGAAAGTCAGACATTTTGCGCCCGCAGTGCTGTACTCCAAAACATTTAGGATTTCCTGTGTCCCTCAATGGAGGAGAAAGAAAACATTATGACAGCTGTTTGAATGTACTTGACACTTACAGGAATAGCTACAGTATCATAATGGGGTTTAATATGGCCATTCTAGAATTATATAAAGCTTGGTAAGGTTTACATAAAAATTATTTCTAAAGTGTCAGTCTCATTTATTTCTGTGGATATTATGCCGCAATATCACCCTACAGATACCTCAGAGACAGGTGCAGGTGAGCGTTCTCTGTTTATGAACTCTTCATAGTGAAGGGACACACCACTGAGCTGTAGAATCTTCTGGATGAATGCTGGAGGCTGATGGACATCCACAGGGAAACTAGGGCCCGAATCTCTAACTGCCTCATCACAATAATCTAGCCTGAGAGAAACAAGGTACAAGTTACATGCAGAGAATAGGACTGTAGGACTGTAGAACTGCAGTACGTTCACTTCACTGATAAAATACATGAAGGAGTAACACAAGCACCAAATAATACTAAAGGAAAAGCACTGAAAGGGTATACTAAAGCAGAGATACTACCACCAAGTGTATACAAATAACGGCATGTTTGCGCTCAGGGGGAGAGTTACCCTGGTTGCTATATATAGTATGGAACCTGATTGCTACCGGCTTGGCTCCCGCTCTAACGGCTGCGATCACTCCACTGCTGCACTATGGATAGGCGGATTGATCTTATTCCGACAGGAGGAAGAGACGGCTCTGGTCCGGTTGCTGGCAGGCCACGGACCGGTAATAATCCGCGACCCGGGAGTTGGGTACCCCTGTTAAAGCAGACATGTCCCTCCTGGAAATGAGTAGCTCCCTGTGCTAGAGTGACCAACCATTTTGCCTTTCAGCCAACTAGTCTCAACTGTATTGTATGCCTCAATCTGCTCCTGATGAAGTGGACTTCTCCGAGAAACGCGTTGAGCTGAATCCCATCTGAATATCCAGTGTATAACAAGCCACAGACTGGTATAACGTATAACAGTTCTCAGGAAATATTAAATATTGAGTGACAAAATAAATATTGACCACCGGCAGGTTGGAATATTATATTGAGGCCAAGTGGTTGAAGAGAGACAGTTTTTAATATGTTGTTGTTTTTAATGATTGTTGTAATAATTCTGTAATAAAATTTGATCTGATTCCATTTAACAGTCTCAACTGGGTGCCTTAAAAGTCTGTTATTTGTATGCACTTGTTGGTAGTATTGATTATTGGATGTGGCACCATTAATAGGTATTCCACCCTAGTCTTTACTAAAGCAGAGATACTAAGCCAGGTAGGAAAGTAAATACAGCCGCTATGATCAAGATAAAATACACCACCCAAAAAAACTGACCTTTTGATGTGTATTTCAAGAGCTGTTCCTGTGTCAGAGTCTACTGGCATATTCTCAATCCTGATAATAGTATCTAAAAAGGTCACCTTAATCCTCCGCAGCACTAAAAAAGATTGAAGACATGAGGGAACACAGGAGGGGAGGACAAAGTGATGTATTAATCTATCCCTCTCATTCAAAAGAGAGCCACCAAAAAGATAATGCACTATATGTACAGACATAAGGCACAATATACATGCACAGCAAGTCTACAGAACAATACATAAAGGTTTTACCTGTCTCTATGGTTTGTGCAAACATCTCCAGTCCTTCAATAGGCTGCGATGGTTCAGATGGCTCCTCTGCTTGTTCTTTCAGACACTCCTGGGCCAGCTGCATGCTGGTGGTCATACATGAGGACCAGCTGTGAGACTCTGGTCCACCAGAAGCTAGATAATAGAAAATATCACAAAGTACTATAAGAAAATGATGCATGTACTCGACCAAAATTATGTCAGTATACCCAAATGGGAACATCAAATGTTTTATTCTATATTCTTGGTTTTATCATCCGACAGATTAAAAGAACACAGAAAGAACTTTATTAAGCTGGTGATTTTGCAATGGTACTACTTTTAGCAATCGTCTCTTTTAAGTTTTCCTCTGGCTGATTAGAACTTTGTAATATGTGACAGTTAATGTAATTTACTAAAAGGCTTCCAAAAACGAATGCTAGCAAGCTATCACACTGTAGGCTCAATTCTAAAAGCTTGGGTGGTGATGGCTGGGGGAAAGTCATAACAAGAGAAGATTTTGGACAGGGGCAGAGCAGATTATAGTTATAGCTGAGGAGGAGGGAGGGGATCATATAGTGTGCAGATGCACTATTGTTTTGGGTAAAGGGTGCACCTATGTTTTTTTGCAGAGCATTCTGGCCTTTTCAAAGTGAAATTATAGTACAAAAAAGTGTTGTTTTTAAAGATGAACTCCGGGCAAAACTTTTATCAACTGTTGCAGTGGGGCTACCCCCACACTGAATGGGTCAACTGCTTCTTTTGGTCTAGGTGCTAAAATAAAAAACCCGAACCTCGGAGATGGCTGGCTGTCACAGTGCTCCCTCCAGCCTGTCTCCTTCTACCCTGCAGCGATGATATTTCTCTTGGCGTCATTACATCCAATGCACACTGTGATGACTCGAGGATCCTTGGACCGCTGCAGCGGAGGGGAAGCGAGGCTCCAGTGACTGGTCTAAGAGTAAGCCGACTCTGAGCATCAGGTGAATATAACTTTTATATTTCAGCACATAGACGAAAACGAGCCGTTAACCCTTGCAGTGCGGGAGTAGCCCCACTGCAAGGGTCAATAAACATTTTGCCCAGCGTTCTTCTTTAAGGCACCAACATTTCAGAAACATTTGAAATTCCATAAATCATAACATTTTATTCATTTTATCATATAAAAGCGTACACATCAACATTACAACAAGCAGGGAATCACCAGCACTCAATAATGAAAGCAAAATATGTCCCTTTAATGGACAAAAGCGTCATAGAATGCAAAAAAAGATCTTTTTTTTGCATTCTATGACGCTTCTGTCCATTAAAGGGACATATTTTGCTTTCATTATTGAGCGCTGGTGATTCCCTGCTTGTTCTATGTCTGGACGGCGCCATCCGTGAACCAATATCACTGCGAGCACCATCTTCTCTTGTCTGGCCGGGACTGCTGTGAGGAGTGCGGAGGGCTCCCCCAACGACCTACACATCAACATTACCACATTAACACTTTAAAAACATTCAAGTTTGAGGGTGAATACTACCTCCATTGACCACCTAAACGTCTACATCACACTTTTTATAATCATTACATTTGCTACAAATAACATCAGCCAAGATGTCTTCAACATAGTAATTCATGTTCATGGAGATTAATTTTGTTCATAGTGGAACAATTTAATCAACCGAACAGCCGACTCTATGCTGATTGGCTGGGAAGCGGGCTTTCCAGCCAATCAGTATCAAGCCGGCTTACCGGCTAATCAGGAAGCTGGGAGGCGGGTCATTACTCGCCGCCAGGCTTCCTGATAGGCCGGGAAGCCAGCTCGATGCTGATTGGATGGGAAGCAGGTTTCCCGACAAAGCACAATCAAGCCGGCCAAACAACGTGGAACTGGCTTCTAGGGCAATCAGATTGCCCGGGAAGCCATATCCATGCCAACGGAAGCACTGGTATCGGTACTCAGTATCGACAAATACCGAAAGCAAAGTATCAGTACTCATACTCGATGCCGAAAAAACAGTATCAGTGCATCCCTAATAATATTGGTATTGAATCCCCCACCCAAATTACTCCACTATGCATCCAGCGCGCTGGGGACAAGAGGCAGAAAGACGCATAATGGAGTGATTTGGGGAATGGGATATGAAATATTAAATGGTTCTAAAGTGTTGATGCCTTAAAACCCCCCACTTTTTTCTAATCTCTAATTCGGGGTGCATCACAAAAGTGTTGTCCCAACTCAACCCACATGTTTGTTATTGTATCATTTCAAAGGAAAAGCCTGGCACTGGCTCCCAACATTATGAAACGGTCTAACTTAAAATTCCAAACAGTGCCCCAAGTGAAGAGCAGAGGGTGTACTTTTTTGGACTCATTTGTGTGAGCGTCTACTATTAAAGTTTGTTAACAGCCTAGTGAAGAAAGGGTAAAACATCTTACAGCCTCACAAGCTGGCTTTGGCCATTATATAGGAGCCTACACTATTCCAGGTAACAGTCATCTTGAAAACATTCTATGATTAAGTGTCTGAATGTTAAACAACTTATTAGTAAGGTGTGGGAGGCTGAAACTGGTGAGCAAGCTTTGACACTGGCAGGGAGTGCCAGAGCTTTGCCCATCAGAATTGCTGGCGTTAAAACATTACAGTGGGGGCTTGGAAACGGGTTCAGGTATTTACTCAAACATCAAGGTGTCTGCACTTTACACCTGACAGCAGAGTTTCCTTTAATTTTTTGCAGTGAAAGATCATTCAGAGAAGAAACCAAAATGTAGGCACTGATGGCTCTTACCAGCTCGGTATTTTGGACGACAAGTAACCTGCAGTTGAGATACTTCCAAAGTACAGTTTTCGGTGACAAGGGCCGACCATGGGATTGTAACGGAGATACTGCCGATGAATCCATCAATAATCTCCAGTGGGGCCCCTGCTGAGTCCAGGAGTTCATTCACAGACTGAGGACATAGAAAAAAATAGAGACAAACTTGAATAATGAGAACCAGAGAAGGAGCAGTAATGATTAATAGTGTATGACAGACAGCAGAAGAAGAAAGAGATCAGAGGCAAGAAAAGCTAAACAGCAAGGACCTGAAACACTCATACAACACAATCAGAAAAGGTCATATGTAGACAAAGGACTACAAACACTATACAGGTGGCCCACGGTTTACAAAATATGACCCTTTTCTGGGAGTGTTGTAAATTATTATTATTATTATTACATATTATTATATTATTATTATTACATAGTAAATTAAAACTAAATATATAATGTATGTCAATGGAACGTGAGGGAGTTAGGTTCCAGGCCTCTCTCAAATCAAGCAATGGTTCTAAATGGGATCTGGTTTAAACTGAAACCCAGTAAATAATGGAATTCAGTGGAAAGTGAGGAAGTTAGGTTCCAAGCCTCACTCAGACATAACATAATACAGGCACATTTTATTTAAAGCTCCTTGTGTGAGCGCATGCAGCAGCTTTAACTATAATGTACCTGCATTTTATTACTTATGTCAATTTGGAGAAAGGTCTGGAACATAACTCCCTCTCCTCCCATTAGTTTACATTATATACTGGGTTTCCATTTACAGCGGTTTCTATTTACAACCATTCCCTCAGGAACCCAACCCCAGCGTAAATTGAGTGCTACCTGTATTTGGACCTGTGATTGAAGTGCATATATTGTTAGTCATACATAAATAATATAATCCAAATGATAGGCGACAACCTCCTAGCTTTCCATCTACTCACTGGAGAAGAATGTGTGTAGTCCAGCAACCTATTGGCCACAGCCATGGCATTTAGAAATTCAGGACTGTCCATTATATGTCTGTGTCAAAACAATTCTATCAAACATATTCCGGTAGAGGAAACTCCCTCAACTCTACCATAGTGCATAGAACGCAGAATCTGCAGGTTCTATGCAGCTCTACAGTAATAAAAACGCAAACGTTTAGCAAGCTGGTCACTAAATAGAAAAGGTGACACGGTCTGTCATTGTTCAGATGATGCAAAAAAAATGTATTATGTAGACGGGTTATACATTCCAGTGGAACTCCAGACTTAGCTTTTTCACCTAATTTTCACGAGTGGGGAATGGTTAGAACCTCCGACAGGTTTTAATCCCTGTGTGTCTAAACTCCAATTGAGGGAAATGTACCTTCACTTACCATACATACTTATATACAGTTAACCCACTTCAAGGTTCACTCAAAACCTTTTTTAAGAAGGATACTGTGAGTGCAAACATGGCTTCGCATGAATTTAGAACTTCTGAAAAGACAACTGGGGCCAAACCTTTTATGGCCAAATATTTTGGGTTACAGGAGGACATTTACTAATGTCCTCCTGTGACCCAGAACTCAGCATATAGCAGACTAGTGCCTGCTATATGCTGACAGAGCAGAGCCGTGCTGCAGTCGGGAAAGATTCCAACAATATTGTCAGGATCCACCCCATTGTCTGACTGACAGCTGGCTCTGCTTCCCCTCTCTGCCCGTCCCTCCTCCAGTCAGCGCTGGAGAAACGGAGAATGGAGGGGGGAATCCATGCGGGGAACGATGACTGACAGTCTCTGCAGGAGAAGATCGTGAACAGAGCGGTCAGCGGTATCTGATCGCTCACTTCCCGATCAATAGACCCGACGTGTGACAGCTGCGGTGTCACACGGTGGCTTTAACTATCGGCATGAGTACATTTCACTCTCCCCATAGTTCTCGCCATAAGTGTATAGAATTTATGCAGGAATCAGCCAAAATATGAGCTGTGGGTGGCCTTGCTGGCACCACCCACTTCAACGTAAGTCGATTTTTCAATCCACTTTTGTTGAATGAGCCAGGTGGAAAATTGTCAGGCAAACAGTAACTGAAGCTGATAAGCTGCAGTCACTGTTTGGTTATACAGAGAGCCGGCTGTCAGATTACAATAGCCTGACAGGGCAGATTGATGAGAGAGACTGTAAAGTGTATAGGTGCCCATACACCTTACGATTATCGAACAAAACTTTTCGTCCGACGATCGAATAGTTGTACGATTTTCGTACGGCAGCCCCATCCTGCCCCGATGATCGCAAGATTAATTTAGCCGTAATTAACAAAAAGCACCTGGACGAAATGCGGTAATGGATTTGCCGTATTTTCGTTAGCGCAAGCGCAGTGTATATCGTACGACTTTTGACGGACGGAAACGACAGCAACCTTACAAAAATCGTACGATCGAGCAAAGTTTTCAAACATGCTTGACCGTCAAAAGTCGTACGATTGTACAGTAATGTCGGCCGGACACTGCAATGCACACATACGGTTATCGGACGAAAAGTCGATAGCATGCGAAAATCGTCCGATAATCGTAAGGTGTATGGGCACCTTAAGGCCAGCTTCAAAGACACAAGACAAGGTTAAAGGAAATATCTCCAAAGTGAAACTAAATCCCATTGTACACAGCTGACACACAAACAGGTGTCCTCACAGGGAGATTTTATATCTACTCCACTTTGCTGACAACTGTAAAATTTTAGATTCCAAATGGAGACACAGACAGCAATGCAAAGCTTACAATGGTTGGAATCCCTTCCAGCTCTACCCAAAGCCAGAAACTTGAATTACTTTAATAATATATAACTATGTGCAGCATCCAGGCACAAAGCTCTAGCTCCATTCAGCAATGTGTCACAATGTAGATAAAAGCTGTAAAATGTCGATTTTCTATTGCTTTGTCCTGAGCAGTGGCAGCATACAATTTATTAGTAAAACCAATTTCTGCAGTGTGCCAATCTGCTCCACCGCAGTGGAATCTTTGCTCTCAGATTTTATATATGAGCATACCAACAAGGAAAGCAAATAAGGAAACAACTATTTGAATAGTAATACAATAATGTAATTGTATATAAGTGTCACCCAATCTGAAGGAGTTTAAAGAAGTGTGAGCATTGTAAAAAAAAAAAAGGGAGATAAGTTCTCTTGTTTTTATTTTCAAGGCAGAGAACCAAAAATGTGAGTTTGTCCTGGGCCCAGCACCAAGTTTTAGGAAGGGAGGGGACAGGGAATGATATTGTGTACAGCATAGCTGACTACGTGTTTCGTTTTCTACGCAGTGCTATTTGTCTTTAGATTGCACTGATCAAGTGATGTATTGTGCTCAGGACAACAGTCAGTCTCCTTATCAGAACATGTAACGTCAGCACTTGCTAAATAAAAAAATAAAAAAGTGATTTTTTTTTGTAGGTGAAATTGGTGGTTAAAGTGACACTAAACTCAGGCGTTAAATCTTAAAAATACATTTGAGCGCCTTAAAAGAGAATTATGGGGTAAGTGTTTTTCCCCATAGTTCTCTTAAGGGTCACGGGAGGACATATACTAGCGTCCTCCCGTGACCCAAAGCTCAGTATATATCGCAAGCTACAGCCCGCGGTAAACTGAGACCGCCGCAGCCGGGACAGATCCCAACATTACTATCGAGATCCACCAGCTTTGTGAGTGACAGCTGGCTCTGCCAATCTAGAGACAGAGCCCGCTGCTGTATCTGCCCCCCCTCCCCCGTCCGTTCGTTTCTCCAGTCAGCACTGGATCGGCGCGGGGAGGGGGGGACTCCCTGCGGGGAGCCCTGACTGACAGTCACCACTCTCTGCAGGGAGATGATCAAGAAGTGAGCGAGCGACAGTATGTGTTCACTCACTTCCCGATCTATTGAGCCGACGTGTGACAGTTTCATTGTCACACGTCGGCTCAAACTATGAGGATGAGTGATTTTCACTCACCTCATAGTTCTCCTTTAACTATTAACAAAAATGTATCTTATTTGTGTATCACTCGGCTGTATATCCTCAAATCATCTCTGAATGGTGCTGACACTGTCCATCCTCCTGGAGGGTTCCCCATGGTCCCTGTGTGTGTTGTAACGTAGTCACCGCTGCAAGGTCGCTCCTGTGATGGACTACAATCTCAATACAAATTAGTAAACTAATTGTGAGATTGTAGTCCATCACAGGAGCGATCTTGGATCGGTGACTACTTTACAACGCACACAGGGCTCATGGGGAACAAAAGTAGTCACCCTCCAGAAGGAAGAACAGTGTCAGCACCAATTCAGAGATGATTTGAGGATCTACAGCCGAGTGATACACAAATAAGATTAATTGTGAATACTTAAGGTACTTGAATGCATTTTTAAGATTAACTCCCGAGTCTAGTGTCACTTTAAGCAGTTGGTTGTCTTGATAAGCAGATCATAAGCAATGGTGCCCTTTGGATAGTGTACACAAATCATTTTCCGAGTTTATAGGGGAAAACTGACGAGGGAATGCACAGCACATTCTGTCCTCTGAATAGTGGATTAAGAGTGACAGCTGAGGATTTCCTGGATCTCGGTCAAGACTTTCAGGAGTAAATGAAATATTTTACTCAGAAGTCACCAGGACACTGGGCACGTTACTATCCTGATGTCATAACAGACATTCACTTCCACAAATGAGAAGAGTTATGCAAGCCACAGTGATGTAGCAAGAGGAAAAAAAATAGAAACATTCATGGGAACGACCAAGTTTACAATGTAAAATCAGAAACTTCTGTAGACATGACAGATTGAGATTAATAAAATAAAGGTCTTGAATCTTTTTAGCACAGTTTTGACATTCTATTAACAATTAATATACCCTTTTAGAGATTATATGAAAGCTAAACAAAAAAAAACTGTCAAAAATTTGCTTTCACAAACAAATATAGAAGTGACAGCCATAAGTAACAGGCATATTCATAATGCAGCGTGATTCACTGCAGGTGAATCAAATACTGTAATTTAAGAGATAAATGCGCTTAAGAACAGAGTATACTTATTCTTTTGGCCCTTTTAAGCTGAGCTGAGTGATCCCTCCCTGCCCCTGCACAGATACATACTTACCTAGATCCAACGGGTAGATCTGTGGTTTGTTGACATCTTGCTGCAAAAGGCTCCCTCTCCTAGCAGAGTATGGGGTTCGTCTTCCTCCGCCTTTCGGCAAGGAGTCGGCCCCCCAAAGAACTAGTATGCAGATAAGATGTTCTGACTTTTTTTTTATTTCCTGCTCTGCTTGGTTGTTTCAGGGCAGAAACTCAGAGGGTAAGCAACCCAGCTGGGCAACTAGCATGCTCAGAAGGCAGTCATGACAGGTTTCCTTTAAAGAAACTAGACAGATTTCTCTTGTGCCCGTCTTTCTCGTCTGTCAAGAGGTCCAAATGGTCTCTTGACAGCTGTTTCAATGCTAGAATTGACAGGAGGTCCTCTCTTCTTTACTGGAATGTGCCTGGCTGCCTGTGTTATTCCCAACAGCTGTTTAGAGGAAAGACAGGCCATAGCAAAACTGAAGAACGAGAAGAGTATCATGGGGGCAGCTGTCTAGGAATTGACCTTTTATATAAGTGGCAAATGAAATCTGCAGACCAGTGTGCTGTTCTCTAACGTTCACTGAAAGTGCCTTCAAAACACAGTCATCAGAGGCGCCTACAGTATCTCTGTCTGGGCCGATGATTATGCTGAAAGTTCTAAATTATTTAAATACTCGAACGAAGCCGAAGGCTGAAATCTATTTTGTGCAATGACCACACTGTCAGTACAAGGGCTCATGCACATGGCCGCCTGTGGATATACAGCGTGAATTCCAATGTATTTCCCCCCGCCAGGGAAGCGCAGGTGCTGAGGACAGCCTCCCATAGGAGTCAATGGCTCAGTGGCTGTTTGGGGCTACAAGCCAGCCCTGCATAAACAACACATGCGTAAGGGCGCAGACAGTCTGCATTGGAGTTTGTGCGCCCATACTCATATGCATATTTACTAATGATAATGAGTAGTGTGGGGGCTTGGTGCAGACCCAGGTGTCGCCCTTTGTGATGTGTAGTTACGGGCCGGGGATGCCTCATGCGCATATGATTGGGCCAGGAGGGGGGGGGGGGGGGGTCACAGTTTTGCAAGGGCATACGCAAACTCAGACAAACTGTTTTTACACTAAGTCCCCTTTCATCACTAATGTTTAAGTCCCTCTGGGGAGGTGTCAGTTACAGTTCTGTGCGAGTGTGGGTAAACTAAGGTGAACTGGCTACACACCAGGACCCCCACATTAATAAATATGCACATGCGTATGGGTGCACAAACCCCAACACTGACTGCACCTGTATGCATGGTGTTGTTTACGTGGGTACAGCGCATACCCACGTCCACTCATTGACTTTTCCCGCCCTCCAGCTGTGATGAAACTGCAAATCCCATAATGCATCTGCCTTCGGGAGTCATGCCTGTGGCTGTGAGAATCTCACAATGCCTTATGGGATTTGTAGTTCCACAACAGCTGGAGTTTGGCCACCCCCTGCTGTGCGCACTACCTGTGGGTCCCTGGCAGGTGAAGAACACCGGAATATATGTAGTAAGGCCACAGGCGGCCAGGCGCCCTATCCGAGGATTAAAACATCATCTCCTGGAAAGAAATGTTCTATCGTATGGTAACAAAAGACAACAAGACAAAAACAATCACTGGACATGTAGATTTTACGGTTGGCACCTTCCTTTCTGTTTGCACTAACGAAGCACTAGAGGAAAATTACCCAGATATCTAGATGTATATCGGTGAGACGTCCGCTTCCATTGTAGAGGTCCAGGCTCAGTTGCTCCAGGCTCAGCCTCTCCTCCAGGTAGTGGCCCAGGTAATGCTGTAGAAGGTACCTGCAGGCCCGCGTCTTGATGGAGCTGGACCATGGAAAAAGCCAGCGAGACATGCTGGGAAGAGAGCTGGGGCAGGGGATAGGGTGGGAGAGATTGGGGAAGGGACAAGGGAGCCACTCTCACCTCATAACCTAGTGAGTGATGGGGGCTATCTGTCACCAACCCTGCCTGACACTGTGTCCCCAGGCTGTCAGGTATGAGAAGAATGTCAATCAGGTAAAGCTACACCTCTGATGATTTAGGCTATTATTGTAGACATAGCAGGAAGTGACATCCCTATTAGCTGCCACTACATCAGCGTGGACTGTTTATCACATGACCCCCCTACACACAGCTGTCACACACTGCCCTCCGTGTCGCCTTTTGTCTTGTGACTGAATTGCTGTCATGTAGCCACCAGCAGCCCCTTGTCGCTGGTCAGATCCCGGTGTGCCCCCTAATGGTGTCTATACGTCCTCTGGGATGGGAGCTCTCCCTGCACCGAGTCTCCGTAAGCTTCGGGCTTTCCTTCGCTTTAATTGGGTCACCGAATTCCAGCCCAGGCACTCCGCGACGCCCGGTTCCGGGTCACTATCTGTTTTGCTTCTCTACAGAGCACCGCCCCTTCGTGCTGCGCATTGACGGCAGGGCAACCCGCAGCCAATCACATCGCGTAAACAAGTTCGTCATGAAGGAGGGCGGGGACTAGTGGGGGCGGCCATATTGGTACACCCAGAGTGTCAATGATAGCAAAAGTATACTGTGTTATGTTAAAACTGTGTTGGTTTATTTAAAGGAAATGTGTACTGACAGGGATATGTAGGCTATCACTGCTGATATACTTTTGAAAGTGCTAGTTGCTTGACTGTCAATACGTTTTAGGAGTTTGACCCAGGTCCTGTATGCAGAAGTCAGATAGGGTTGCCACCTTTTTGTCCATCCAAACACTCTAGCGACGCATAGAATTGTTTTTGGGAGATAGAGTCGCGGCTTATTCATATGTAAATAACGCCACCCATACATATGTAAATATCACAGTCGAGACTATTTTCCGTAAGGAGCAAGTGGCCCCTATCTTAATTTTGGTTGCCCCTGTGCCATTAGTATTTAAGCACTTCCCCGGCGTGCACCACGCCGGGAAACCTAGTGATTGGCTAGTGATTGGCTGGAGAAACATAGACACTCCCAATGTTCTCCCACTGGCCACCCCACTCTGTGGCAGGGTCACACCCAACCATAGGTAGATGCAGACAATAGCAGAACACCTAGGAATGACCAAATAATCGCAGACTACAACTACTACCTAAGCTTGGTTCGAAGAGCTCTATTTAGCTTCCTTTGTTCCAGGACGGTTGAGTGTTCCAGGCAGAGACTGTCACCCCTTTGGGTGTACCTGGAATGGGCCAGTTGTACTGTAAAAAAGAGGCGCTTATCCAGAGACATAAACACCACTATAATTCCCCCTTTACCTTACAAATAAGGTTACAGTTGGCTATACTCAACAATCTATAACTATATACGATATGCACAAAAGAAAATTGAAATCTATCTATCAAATCTATCTTTCTACTCCACAACTCACCCCCTCTGTGTCCGTGCGTGCCACTAATCGACTAACTGACATATCAGTCTGGATGTCACTTCTTAAAACTCAACCTTTCAAAAACTTAGTTGATGATTAATCCCCCCGTGCACCTTCCCCAAACTTTTCCCTTGAGATTATTAACACAAATATCCACCCCTCCCCTCATGCCAAGGTCTTAGGTGTCATCCTTGACTCTGATCCTCACCTTTCTTTCCCCACATCCAATCACTATCTAAATCCTGCCGCCTTCACCTTCGTAACATCTCCAAAATATGCACCTTCCTCACCAAAGAAACTGCAAAATTACTCATCCACTCACTTGTTATATTTCGTCTTGACTATTGCAACTCCCTCCTCATTGGACTACCACTACACAGGCTATCCCCCCTTCAGTCTATCATGAATGCAGCTGCTAGACTCATTCACCTAACCAACCGCTCAGTGTCTGCAACCCCCCTCTGTCAATCCCTACACTGGCTTCCACTCGCCCAAAGGATACAATTATAATATAAATTATAAATTAAAAATATTAACAATCACTTACAAAGTCATCCACAACTCTGCCCCCAGCTATATCTCAAACCTGGTCTCAAAAATATCACCCTAACCGTCCCCTCCGCTCTTCAAAAGACCTCCTGCTTTCCAGCTCCCTCGTCAACTCCTTCCATGCTCACCTCCAGGACTTTACTAGAGCCTCTCCCATCCTATGGAACTCTCTACCCCAACCTGTCCATCTATATCCCACTCTGACTGCCTTTAGGCGATCCTTTAAGACTCATCTCTTCAGGGAAGCCTATCCCACCTCAACCTAACCACTGAACTATCACTTTCTCAAACAATTCATCCCCACACAGCTACCTCCTCGTGTATCACTTGCCCCTCCCTTTTAGAATGTAAGCCCTCACTGGCAGGGCCCTCCTTACCATCTTGTCTTGAATTGTATTGTGATTGTAATGTCTTCCTTATATTGTAAAGCGCTGCACAAACTGTTGGCGCTATATAAATCCTATATAATAATAATAATTCTAGTCCTAGAGAGGACTCAGATCACAGTAGTCATAAAGGATTGGAGAAGCCAAAGCAGATATCCAAAAATAATTACATTTATTAGTCAATACAAAATCATGTGCATGAATAAAACCAATGCAGAGCCAAAGGAAATCTCACAGCTACAATTCCTTAGCCACCATCAGGACTCCCCAGGTGCTGGTCCAATGGGTGCGTCTCCACCTTGGAATGTAGTAGTATAAGAACGGACCGTACTATCCAGAGAATTCCAATACTTCAGATTTTATTGAAATTCATAGTAAATTCAGTATAACAGTGAATAAAAGTGTATAAAGCAACAAATGCCAGCACTGCATACCCCCAACCAGCTACAACCTCTCACATGTTTCACCCATAGGCTGACGAAGCCCCGGAAAAGTGGGAGGGCCGAAACGCGTTAACGCAATGCCTTGGGCTTATGACTGATTGCATGTCTGTCGACAAGTAACATGCTGGAGGAAGGAGACATACTTCACCCATGGAGGTCAAGCATCCATTCATTCTGACCATCATCAAAGAAACAAAGTAATCTACGCGTGCAGCAACACAGCTATCCCGTGATATACAGGGCTATTGTGTGGAGGAGACTGACAGTGATTCAGTATGCTCAGGCACTTGGCAGGGAACCCGTGTGAACCACAACTGTGAGTATCGATCCACTTGGTTCCAGGTTATCCTTGGAAATGTGCTGCCCAGTCATCTAAATAGAAAGTGTTTCTTTCTGTCAGAACTTCATGTTGAAAGGAACAAATTGTTTCATTTATCCCATGGGATTCTTCAAGAGGTTTACTTTTTGGGTTTGAGCAGTACTGGACAATGAATTTCTTGTCTGTATGAAGCAACAGTGCACGTTGCGCTTCAACAATTGACTTACTGAATCCATTCATTCCTCTAAGAGCTCCACCGGCAATTAATCAGGAATCTTATCAGCCTGCCCGTATGCATGATTGGTATGTGTGAGTTAAACAACGTTGTCTATTTTCATTGTTTTTAGATATTCGTACATGGGTGGGGAAAAGGTGCAACTTGGTTTTATTCATGCTCATGATTTTGTATTGACTAATAAATTTAATTATTTGGGGGTATTTGCTTTGGCTTCTCCAATCCTTGTGATCTGAGTCCTCTCTGGGACCAGAATCAATTTTCTTTTGTGCCAGTTGTACTGTGCAGGCTTGGGATGTGCATGTCTCCCTGCACATCTTGATGCTTGGATGTGTCCCTGTATGAAGTCCTAAGGAGGCGACACTGGGTGGCGGTCACATGATGATGTCTATTTAAATGGACATGAGATCAGTTAAAAGTCACTCGCACTCCAATATAACGTCCAGTCAATCTATTTATTGACTACATGGTGCAGCATTTCCATGCAACGTTTCGGAACCATGAACACTTTCTGTTTGCCTGATGAAGGGACCCCATGGTTCCGAAACGTTGCATGGAAATGCTGCACCATGTAGTCAATAAATAGATTGACTGGACGTTATATTGGAGTGCGAGTGACTTTTAACTGATCTCAAGTTATCTGCAAAGGCATCTGCTGTTGCTACTGCACCCACCCTGCAAGTTGGGTCTTCTCCGGTCAGGAGTGCGATGGGTTATCTTGGATTTCTATTTAAATGGACAGGTGCCAGTGTGACATGGGTCATATTCTGGTGCTAGAAAAATAGAGGCTTGTTTTAACAAAATACATTGCTGTCCCAGGAGCTAAATATTTACAAACTCTGTATTAAAAGCTGCATTTATGTTTTTATTTTTCTTAAAGGTTGCTTTCCAGCACATTTGGGGAGTTTCCAAAACCTCCTTCTTCAGGGCTTTAACATTTTGCTTAGAGAAGCTGCTGAAAAGAATAACTCTGCATTGCTTCCTGGTGACTGCTGGCAATTATAACACACGGCCGACACCAGGCTGCTGCTTCTCCAAACTATCTCTGCGCGGTGTCTGAATCTGCCAAGAACACTGTTTATGTTTACAGCTCCTTCTCTAGGCAGAATGTTATTATCTGAAGCAGTAGTATATTACAGTGCATTGCATTGTGCGCTGCAACACAGATGTGTTTCCTTGAGTCCAGCTGTGGTCGTGTGTAGGCCATCACAGCCTGTGTGATTACTGTACATGCGAACACTCCAGCCAGTGGCAGCTGTCAGTGTATTGTACAGCAGCTCCCACCCGCAAGCAGATTGCATGAGTGTCACAGAGGAATTTATGAGACACATATGACACAGGTATGTATGGGGCCCAAAGAGGAAAATATGAGGTCATATTTCAAATCCAAGGATCGTAATTCTGATATATCCCAATTACAAGTTTTCATTATCCCTTTTGGGTAAAAAATACACCAAAGAACCAAATGTATAGGGTTAGGAGAAAAACTTTTTTTTTTAATGAATCTGATTAATTTGAATCAAGTCTGATAATAGGGAATATGGTAAGAAGATATTGGACAGAGCCAAGAAACAGAAACAGTGAGTCAAGTCATCAAAACAAATGAAAGTAAAGAGAAGAGATTCCAAAAGAAAATGAGGGAATAGCTTATGGTCATAAATTTGCA